AGACGAGGTGCTTAGGGCCATGGTTTAGTGGTGGGATGGCAGGGTTAGGTTAATGGTTGGACTTGATGATCTTAAAGGTCTTTTCCAACCTAAACGATTCAATGATTCTATTTTTTCGTGTAGTTGTATCAGCAGAGGGGAAGAGCTGCCCCCTCGGCATGCTCTAGTAAGGCCTTCCAACGTTGAACTTCTGAAGCCACCTTTTAGCCATTGGCGTGAGTGTAGGCAGGTTCGTTCAGCCTGACCTCTTCTCCCAGGCCCTGAAGAAGAGAGAGGCCCTGAGGAAAACCAGAAGGTTTTATTTGGATCATGAGCCTGTGGTGTTCTTGTAGCTTCACGGAGGGACTGGCTATCTGTTCATATCAGCACTCTCTTTTGATGGAAAAATCCCTGACTAAGTACATTTTAAGTCTTCGGAAGTTTACTTAAACTTTAATGCCAACTGTTAAGTGTGTGTTTGGGGGTTTTATGGATTTAAGTATCAGCTTGCATGAAGCACTTTGTTCTTGGAGGATTCCACTCTAATGTTGCTCTGTCCACAACATGGTGAAAAAAGAAAATTTCGAACTTTCCTATAGTTCTCTCAGCTTTACAGAGCTATGAATAATACCTTTGGATAAAGAATGCTAATTTATGCAAAGCAACTGAAGCACACGCACGGGAAGAGCAATGTCCCACCTGGCTAAATCTTCCTCACGAGCTTGCGTGTAACGTGACAGCAGCTGCTAGAAGCAGTAATGAAGTCAGGGACATGTTAGGGGTTCAGAGGTTTTCCCCGTTAAGCAAACCTCTTGAGGGTCATGCGACCTCTGTGGGTGGTTTTGCATTTTGTTTCATTGGAAGCCTCAGTCGTGAAATGGAGGCGGAAGCCTGGGCTGGCTTTTAACATTGAACAGTGGTTGTGCTGCCCCACGTGTCACGTGATCTGTCAAGAGGAATTGGTGTGGTCAGCCCTGACGTGACACGGACAGTCCTGACAGGGCGGAATCAAATACAACTTAATTTAGCTCATTTTTAAATGGACTGTTCACATGGTGCAGACCCAAAAAGGGAATTACAGGTAGGTCCCCTGTCCTATTTTCTGTAAAAAAACTAAATTTAAAAAAAAAAAAAAAAAAGTAGAATTGACAAATGGATCCTTCTTTCTCAATATAGGCTGTGTAGGAAGGAGGACATCTTAAAACCTCAAGGAATCGGTATGATATAAAATTACTGTTTTGTACAAAATGTAGGGCTCTGCATTAACATGAGGTAAACCTTTACCCTGTAATATTAAATCAAATTCTCTCTTTCCCCAGAGTATGAAGAGACAGTGATGTCGCTCTTCGACTGTGGACTGTTTGAAAATATACTGACAAATATTCATTCAGGTATGTGGAAAAAAAGCTGTCAGAGCAGTAGTAGTAGGTACGGGGTTTGGTATTGAGGTTGTTAATCTGAGCGTTTTGATAAAATGACCATTTAAAATGGAAATTCCAAGGAACTTTTTTCTAACTGAATAAAAGCCATTGCTCCCTGAAGCCTTAGAGATGCAGTGTGTCAGACCTGGCTGGCTGACCTGAAGGGGGAGGCAAGTCACAGTTCCAGACCTTTAAAAGACCACAGGATCTCGGCCCCGCCCCGGAGGAGCTTCCCTCTCCTGTAGGGCGCACTCCTCTCCCGTTCTTGCGGGTCATTCCCCTCCTGGGCCGCAGCCTCCCCTCAGCAGCTCGCCTGCGTTCCGGCTTTGCTCCTGGCTGCTGAGCGCTGTTCGGGCTGGCTGTTGTGTTTCAGTTTACAAGCATTAAACGCCGTGAGCAGAACTTACCTGGACCTGATGGCAATCGTAAAGTGCTTTGAAAAACAAGCTGGGAGTGCTCAGAGGGTGAAGTGAGATCCAGGGCAGGAGCGGTCGCTTGGGACCACCGGTGTGGAAGGAAACTCTGGGGCTTGGACTCCAGTCTCAGCTATTGCAAGCAACAAGGTTAAAAGTGTTTTTCAGGTGGGCCAGTCTCTTGCTCCCATTTCCCTGGCTAACAGTTAGCAGCCTTGTTCTAACTTCTTGCTTTAATTTATCCCTGTGAAAGGGGAAATGGGTTTTAATTAGCTAACACTGAGGTTCAGCGCATGAAGGTGATGTTTGCTGGCCTCCCCCGTTCCACCTTCACTTGACTGAAAAAGCCAGGCCCTCTCGTCAGTCTCCTGTTCTCACATTTAAATTCTTCTTTGGGAAGTGAGAGTGACTGGTGCTGGGGAGTTATCCGACACAGGGTTCCACCAGCGCCTCATCTGAGGGCATTAATACGTCTCTGCTCATAACTCCCCATGTGACACAACCTTGGATCGCATTTACTTCTTTCACAGCTGCATCAATTATTTCATCCTCTTCTCGGCTCACAGGAGAAAGTCTTGATATTGGCACCTACGCACACGCAGCCATGTGACTCTCATGTGTAAAAGTTGTCCCCTCTCCACTTCCCCGCTGCTTGAGCAGCTCGGTTTGTCCTGTACCACACAATCTTTCCTGATACCACCAGCCTACTTTTAATTTCAAGGTCAGTAATGAAAACAGACATCAAGGTTGGTTCCAAAACCGATCCAAGAGGAGCCCTTAAAATGAACCAGTCGGAAAGGAATGATAACTGCGTTAATTACAAGTGGGACTGTAGGGAGGCAAGGAAATGGCTTCCTTTTCTTTCTTTTTTGGTGTCCCAATCTGTCTTCCAAGCTCTCGCTGCTAAGTCTCTCTGCTGGCGTGTGAAGGACTGGTATAAATACTGTGTTTTCACTGATCTTCTTCCTGGCACTAATGATTTTTGGGTCATCTGACATGCTTTACCTTCAATCCATTTTTTTCATTTTATCTTTTTTTGACTTAGTGGATCATCATGCAAAAACTGTTCTAAAGCCTTCCGCATCAGCGCAGCAAGGTCACTCTGAGCTGTGACTGTTGATGCTGCTTTTTTAAATCCCTTTTATATATAGGGATGAAAGGTTCTTTTGCGGCATGTGGCTTTACTGCAAACTTGGCTGCATTTAAAACTTTTCCTACAGTACCTGCTATTGCCTCACCAGTCATTTTGCTATTGTAGGGTGGAGATTCTTGTTCTCTCTTCCAAGGAAAAGCAACTTCCTTTAAGTTCTGCTTTTTGTTCTGGTGCTGTGTGCCCTGCTTGGGGCAATTTCGCAGTCGGCTTTAGTCTCCTTGTTGCCGGTCAGCAGCCTGCCCGGCGGCTTTCGATCTCCTCGGTAGCATTTGTGTTCAGGGGATCCGTAGCAGTGAATGCTGCGACAGTTGTGCAGACAAAGGCGGCGATACTGGGGTTTAAAACTGTTGTGCAGTACCTTCACCGAGAGCCCCGTAAGCGAGTGCAGGCATTCCAGGCCCACGTGCCTCCGGCCATTCCCGATTGTACAGGTGGAAGGTTCCCAGTCTGTTACCCGCTTTCGCATAGGCCAGTCGTTCCCCTCCCTGACAGCTTTCTCCAGGCTGTTTCTATTTCTGCCGCGTCCTGTTGGAAGGAGAGAGATGGAGCCGTATGTCTCCCTTCTGTAGGTCGCACACGTTCTGAATGCAGTGATGCAAGCCTCACGTTTGCTCTCCCTTTTGATTATTTCTGATAATTTATTAATTTGTATCCAAATACTCTCTAAGAGTTTTTTTTTCCTCCAGCTCCCACTTGTACGCATCCAGCTTTTTCCTCAGATGCGTGCCTGCTGGTTCTTTTAACCACATAGACTTGGTACCAACCAGAAAGGCCGCAAAGGCCGCCCGGGGCGAGCAACGGAGACGGCGATTTCCAATCCGGTCGGCTCAGCTGCGGAGCTGGTGCAGCGAAAGGGCGGGTGCAGGCCGTGGTGGGATGCTGCTGGGGCAGAGGAAGGCAGGGAGAAGAGGGGTCACCTGCTTTTTCTGGCTGCTAGGGCCAGGCGCCAAGTCCCCCCTGGGTGAGCCGCTGCCCAGAGTTTTGAGGAGGCAGTGGACACCACCGTCCTTCTGGCTGCCCCTTTCCAACATCCACACTCAACCTCACTGGCTAATGTATTTAAAAATGCATTATAGAAGTGTACGTACATACGTAACGTCCTGTGCGCACGCACAAACAGCAGCAGTTGATGGGCTTTCCGAACAAAGAGGAAGAAGCAAGGGGAAGGCAGAAGCCCAAAGGCACTTTTTTTTCCCCCCTTTTTTTCTTTAAAAATGACAGTTAAGGAGGGTTCAGGCTCTGTAATTCAGAATAAACAGGGGTAAACAGCTGGAGCTACTTTCCCCACTCCACCCATTACAACTTTGAAGACCTCCTTCAATGTCTTCCCTCCCCCTCCCCTCCCCCTGCTAAAAAAAAAAAGAGAAAAATGCATTTTGCCTCTCACTAAAATCTGAACTCTGCTATTCTCACACGCTGTGCGGAAATCTCATTCCCTGAGTGACACCTCTGCATCTTTTGTTACCAAAGCAAGTAGGTGCTTCATTTAAACCGTACAGTTAAGAACACGAGGTTATGGTAATGCTTCTGGATTCCAGTGAGGCCTGCTACCACGCTCTCGCCTGTTCCAGTAGTCTTTAAGGTGAGGAAAATGCAGCGGTAGAGAGAAGCAGAGGCGTAGTCAGGGAGAGCTTTGCCAGATGTCGGCCAGTCCCACCAGCAGACCAGCAATAACTGTTGTGCCAGGAGCAGGAACATTAACTGCTCTTGAGCCACGTTTTTGAGAATTCAGCTGTTGAATGCAGTTGCCCAAACCATCTCTTTCTAGGTTTAACTTTGGTGGTGGTGGCTAAAATCCATCAGGCTTGTAAATTTGCTCTGAGTGTGTCAGTCGGAGCTGTTAGCTTTCAAGGCTGAAAATGCATCTTTATTGGAGGAGTCCTTGTACAAACAGATTCTGAAAGTGGAACTCTTAAGGCTCACAGGCAAAATAATATTGGCTTACTAACCAAAATAATTAATCGCCAGCAGTGTGCCCAGGTGGCCAAGAAGGCCAATGGCATCCTGGCCTGTATCAGGCATAGTGTGGCCAGCAGGAGCAGGGAAGTGATTGTGCCCCTGTACTCGGCACTGTTGAGGTCTCACCTCAAATTCTGTGTTCAGTTTTGGGCTCTTCCCTACAAGAAAGATGTTGTGTTGCTGGAACGTGTCCAGAGGAGAGCAACAAAGCTGGTGAGGGGTCTGGAGCACAAGTCTCATGAGGAGCAGTTGAAGGAACCGGGGTTGTTTAGCCTGGAGAAGAGGAGGCTGAGGGAGACCTTATTGCCCTCTACAACTGCCTGACAGGAGGCTGTAGTGAGGTGGGGGTTGGCCTCTTCTCCCTGGTAATGGGCAATAGGATGGATCACCCTCTACAACTGCCTGACAGGGGGCTGTAGTGAGGTGGGGGTCGGCCTCTTCCCAGGTAATGGGCAATAGGACGAGGGGGAATGGCCTCAAGCTGCGCCAGGGCAGGTTTAGGTTGGACACTAGGAAAAATTTCTTCACCAAAAGGGCTGTCAAGCATTGGAACGGGCTGCCCAGGGAGGTGGTCGAGTCCCCATCCCTGGAGGGATTTAGAAGATGGGTAGATGAGGTGCTTGGGGACATGGTTTAGTGGTGGGATGGCAGGGTTAGGTTAAGGGTTGGACTTGATGATCTTAAAGGTCTTTTCCAACCTAAGCGATTCTGTGATTTTTATATTTGCTGTGATGGTTTAAATCACATCTGTAATGTAGCTAGTTTTGAGATTACAGTATGTGGGTGACACAGTGTGTAACTCTACTGCTTTGTGGTTTCCTTCGGCACATCAGCCAATCTCATACCACGCACAGTCACCTCTGGATGGAGAGACCAAGGGCGCAGGGAATTGCGCTTCAGCAAGGCAGGGGTTTTAGTGCAGACTAAGCTCAGCAGTGTGAATGCATATATGACACTTATCTTAAATTAGTAATAGTTACGTATGAATAAAAAAGCTTTTATCCCTTTCTTTTTCATAATAGGAACAGAGGAAAAAATCCAGGAACTTCTGGAAAGCAGGAAAAGACTGGATAACAAGATTGAGCTACTGCAGGACTTAAAAGCAGTCGTCCTTCCTACCCAAGAGACCACCGCTAGTACGTCTAGTACAGCATCCGAATAACCCCCGAATCTGTCTGTAACGGTGTCAGTATTTAGGATTTTCTAATGATAGAAACCATAGAGCACGTCTGGTCGGTGTCTTAAGTAATTCCCTTCCTTTTTCCCCCAAGACAGGGACACAAGCAAGAACTGGCTGTTTTTATACCTCACTGTTGCAATATTTTTAAGTTGTCCCTTTCTTTAAATTTTACCATGGTTACACACCAAATTTAGCTTTTGTGAAAGCTCAATACAGCCCTCCAACGAAGACTTTTTTCCCTCAGAGCCAAGGGAGGGTCAGCTGCCAGAGAGCACTTTCTAAGACCCCTTTAACCATGGCAGCCCTGTTCTGACTGACTGTGCAGCTGCTGCTTCGCTGTCGGCACCTAGACCCTGGGGTTTTAAGGATCACGTTGCTGCTCTGGCTTTCCAAAGAAGATAAAGGAGCAGAACTTGCACTCAAAGAAGCCTTCTGAATTATAAACAATAATTTAGGTTTGATTTTTTTTAAATTAAATGATTCTTGAGTGACTGCTTAACGTATAAGTGGTTCTGCTGTAACGGCAGTGGTGGAACAGTGTTGGCAAACAGACTGGAAATGGTTGGGCTCATACTTTAAACAACAGGTACAATGTAAAATGGAGCAAACAATGGACCATAGTATCTTCCTTTCTCCAGTAAGAAAGGATATGACTTCCATGTGGTTTGTCTTACAAAAATTATTTGAATACAGAAAAGCATTGTTTGGCTACAAAAGGGTAAGTTAATGAAATAAAATGTTTTTAAGAAAGGTGTGTGTTCGGTCACGTTCCGTGGGACACGGCTGAGGAGGGGTTATGCTGTCAGACTGTACCTTAACTCGCCTCAGAGCGGGACCAGCGTGATCCATTGCCCTGATGATTGCGCCAAAGGCCATGTGTCGTGGCAGGCTGCAGCACCATCCTGTTACAACAGCCGTACTTGCTCCACAACTGGTAAAAAACATTCATAACTTGCGCTTGTTCTGTATGAAGATGGAGATCAGTAAGCACAGAGTAACAACCTTCAGACCATAAGCTCTCGGGGCAGAACGAGTGGCTGTGCCCAGCAGAACAAAGCATTAGTATTGGCACTCACCTATGCTGTTCAGGCCTGCTGGCTGGCCGGGGCTACAACCACAACCCGCTCACTGCCTGAGCCGAGGACTCGGGCTCCACTCACAGCTATTCTGCCTAGAAACGCCCCCGCTAAACCAAAAGTGTGGTTGTGTCTATTAACAGGGAACGCAGAAAGATGCAAATCCGCTGTCATGGGAAAGACAGAAAAGCTCATGTCAGCTCTTTTTCCTTACAGCAGCAACCTGAATTACTGACAAGCCATCTGAATTAGAGGCCAAGTGCCCTACTCTTCTGTTCCACCCCCAAGCTAGACCCTTCACCTAGAGTTTGCCATCCAGACCAAGTTGTTTATTAGAAGCAATTATGAAGCATTTTGTCAGACTGCCAGCGTCACGCTACAGCAGCTCCCTGCCTCTATCAACAACACAAAATTCTAGGCTTTGCAAAACTTAGAATCATAGAATCGTCTAGGTTGGAGAAGACCATCATCAAGTCCAACCGTTAACCTAACCCTGCCATCCCACCACTAAACCATGGCTCTAAGCATCTCATCTGCCCGTCTTTTAAATGCCTCCAGGGATGCTCCTAACCCCAGAGTTAGACCTGCAGTTACCTAAATGTCAAATCTGCAGTTCCAGGTTCTCTGCTCTGCAGTTGGTGGGGATGTAACCCCTCAAAAGCACACAATAAAAATGGCAGGTGTGTATGTCCGTACCCGCCTGCTGTAAGGTTACAGTCACATACGGACTTACTGGTGAAAAAGAGTCAGATCTGTAGATCACAGATTGTAATCACTGGGGTCTACATTGGCACCTGCAAATAAATTTGCTATTTTCTGCAATTGAGACCACAGGTGTTCGTCAAGCACAGTGAAATCAGTCAGATTCAATAACACATGGCCTGTGGGGTTGGTTTGGTTTCAGGTTTTCTGTTTTTTCAAATAAAGCAACTTGCGTGCTGTATTGTAACACAACAAGCTTGCCATTTTCTTCACAGTCCAAAGAAGTTTGAGAGTGAACAGGTACAAAAAGTGAATTTTATTAGATGTAGTTTAAATTTGTACAATGCTTAAAATGCAAAACCCCCTCTTTCAGAACAGCCTATCCCTTCCCCTCCGAGGGAACCAGTGTAATCCAAAGTCAGCAAAGAGGGAAATTTTCCATTAACCATTATAAATATTGCTTGAACAGATTACACAAAGTACACATTACAACTTACAGTAAGGTATACCCAATATAGAGGCTTACTTCCGACGAGATTTGCTAGTTACCCCTTCCTTCCAAGTCACTTGCGTAGGCTTTGAGGATATATTATTCTTGCACACTTTTCTGAGCACCGAATACACTTAGCTAATTACACACAGCAAATGGCAAATTCATTCCCAATCATGCAACCGCAGGAAGAGATATCCATGCCATTTGCTCCTCTATAATCCCAGGGCGTTAACGATTTAAGTGACATCATTCAGTGGCTCAGGTCAGGCTACGCTCCAACCCCAAGAAGTAAATTGCAGACACGAGCGGGTGGTGTGAGAATGGAGGTTTCCTAGGCTAAAGAGGCAAGTCCTGAACACCGGCTGGTATCCCCTGCACACCACAGAGTTTCCTCTCTCCGTCTGAAATCTCGAGCTGGTGCCACCACCCCGGGTTGCTAAATGCAAGTGAATATTTTGCTTGATGTTTTTACAAGAGTTCACGCCCGAGCATGGAACACACTTGTTTACATTGTGGTCTTGCACGTCTTCCAGTACAAGAGAACAAGGTAGCGCTCGCTTTTACCCGCACAGTTATGACATCCTGTTATAACTGCAAAAGACCCTACACAAACACCCGTAACTTACAGCCTCCTTTCAGTTCTTAAAGGCTCCACATTTACTGGCTTTAGCAATGAATTCCTTTAGCAGGGGACCATCCATTTGCCAAAACGCTGTAGTTTGTGTCACTTCCGTCAAATGATTGACACAAAACTTAAAGCAGAATTCCTCTAAGTCCTAAACAGAGAAAAAAAAAAAAAAAAAAAAAAAAAGAAATCTTAATCATCTTTGTTTCCATCACAGAAAATTACATTCAGGCACAGATGCCTGCATATGTTTTCTTTTTTGCAGAGAATTAGACAAACACATTAACCCAGTGGCTCTCAATGTTTTTCCCCATACAGTCATTATGTAAATACAACAGAAAATAGTAATTCTACCCATATAAGATGGTTGCAAGGGGAAGAGTAACTATAATTTGGTTCTCCCTATGTAGCTGCAGTCACAAAAATCAGCTATTCTGAGCAATATGTATTTTAAAGGTTTCCCCACTTCAAGAGTTTCATCTGCATTCACTGACAGCTATTAAAACCCAATACAAATAGGAGATCTTGGGGTAATAATACATAACTAAGGCTGGGGATTAAGAAAACTCAGGTCCCTTGTTCCCTAACATGAACTCATGTCTATACCTAAGGTTGCTTAACTTCCTGCTTAGTTAAGGGCCTAACGAAAGCCTTGACATTGCACCTCACCAGGGTCAACACTGGTGTATAACTACTTGGGTAGTTTTAAAGCCCAGCTTAGGCAGAAAGCCTTTCTGTGCAGGAGAAACAGATGCGTGTTACAAAGTGTTTCACAGAGGTCCCACGAATGACTCAAAAGAAGTACTGTGGCACAATACAGCACAGCAATTCTTCCAGAAAGTGGGCTCTGGATATTTGAGCACAGATGCCTGCATATGTTTTCTTTTTTGCAGAGAATTAGACAAACACATTAACCCAGTGGCTCTCAATGTTTTTCCCCATACAGTCATTATGTAAATACAACAGAAAATAGTAATTCTACCCATATAAGATGGTTGCAAGGGGAAGAGTAACTATAATTTGGTTCTCCCTATGTAGCTGCAGTCACAAAAATCAGCTATTCTGAGCAATATGTATTTTAAAGGTTTCCCCACTTCAAGAGTTTCATCTGCATTCACTGACAGCTATTAAAACCCAATACAAATAGGAGATCTTGGGGTAATAATACATAACTAAGGCTGGGGATTAAGAAAACTCAGGTCCCTTGTTCCCTAACATGAACTCATGTCTATACCTAAGGTTGCTTAACTTCCTGCTTAGTTAAGGGCCTAACGAAAGCCTTGACATTGCACCTCACCAGGGTCAACACTGGTGTATAACTACTTGGGTAGTTTTAAAGCCCAGCTTAGGCAGAAAGCCTTTCTGTGCAGGAGAAACAGATGCGTGTTACAAAGTGTTTCACAGAGGTCCCACGAATGACTCAAAAGAAGTACTGTGGCACAATACAGCACAGCAATTCTTCCAGAAAGTGGGCTCTGGATATTTGAGTCTACTTGGAAGTGCCTTCCATTTAAGGATTAGAAAAGCCTCACACCAGCCATCATTGCACCCACATGATGTCAGAGACAAAGGATGTCTTAAAAAAAAACCAAACCAAACCCAAACAAAACAAGAGACAGTCCTTGGCAATATAAGGTTGATCACAGAACACTTTCCACTCAGATTGTTTCCAGCTCCTCTTTTGAGGAGGAGATCTACTCTTTGTGGTGCAGATTTAAGCTGCTAGAAGGGCAATGCTGCAGCCCTTACAAAATAGCAACTCCCCACCCTGTTCTAATTTCTTTATTATGTCACAAGTTTGTAGAATTAGTCCTTTATATGTGAGAATACACCCTCCCTTAGCTGCTCAGCAGCCTGGGCCCTGCCGTAATGCATGTAACAAATTTGCAGAGCTCTTCAAGCCACATGAGGTATGAAAGGCTGATTAATATTCATGTTTTCACTTAAGGGCAGTATCGAAAGCTAGAGCAACTGTGTGCCAGTGAGAGTTCTTGACACAACAATAATATAAAAATATATCCTGGCCTAAAACCAGGCATTCTGAAGCTGCAGATCTTGACTTGTGTGGCATCTGTGCAACAAAAAAAGACAGGCTCATTAGAACTGAACACTGAGGGTTTTCTTTTTTTTAAATAACAGAATGAACTAGCATTTTAAACAGAATTACATCATACACATTACAATATTTTGCACTGCTTTATTAAAAAATAATTCATATTCCAAGTCAATGCAACAGAAGCATACAATAAAAACGGAAATACTGTAGTATTAGTAAGTAACCTTGGGAAATTTAAAGTTCTGTATAAAAAAAGGCTGAATTTCATTCACAGATGGATGCACTCCCAGCAAACTGTAGCTAACACAGACTTAAGTGAATAAAGGCACAAGGTACCTCCAATGATTATTTTAAAAGCTACAATAAGAAGCCAGACCTGACCTAATTCTAGCCACTTTAATTCAGTCAATCACCAAAAGAAAGACAGTATAGGACAGTTTCACATCATGGAGGTATTTTAAAGTAGTGAAGCTGCTTCTTTTAACTATTCCCTCCCAGATGCACAGTCCCTTGAATGAACTACATCACCCAAGCAATTTCAAGCCCCCATCTAGCATTAGCGCACGTAAACCCCACTTTTCACTAAAAACCAACCCCTCTGTGCCACTCATTCTCTCCTTGATGTAGCACTGAAGCCTACAGTTTTAACTTCATTCTAACTTCATTTAGCTTGCAAGGTACAGTAACTGGATTTCTTCTACCCCTTACAAGCAGAATCAATCACATACTGAAGACCCATCCTGCAAAAAAATCTTTTAAGGCTAAAATATGGAAAACTTTCTGTTTTCCATGAACTCCCACCAAAGAAATTATTATTCACAGTAGAGCTGAAGCCACAATTCAGGCACTAAACCAGCCCTTTAGGGTAAGGTACGTCAAACAAGCCACACGCTGCAAGGCTCTGAAATACGTTACGGCATCTACATGCCAATTGCTGGGTACTAAGTACAAGAAAAAGCAATGGGTTGATTTACTGGAAACTGCTTTATAAGCATAAGCAGCAAGTTAAAAACTAACCAATCGAAGTTATAAACATGATACACAGATACTATGCTGAACACTAATAGCCTAAGCAAGGCCAGGAATACTTCCTGATTAGTTCACAAAGCAGCATGTTAATGATCTAGTCGTGAAATCGGACATTATGCAGTAGGGAAGTTTTGCTAGGCTTCTCCCCTTTCCCCACAATGTTTCTCTGTCTTCGAAATTTGTTAGGCCCATAAAGCAGTTCTCATCCTGCCATTTCATTAGCTTACTGTGAAGACTGAAAGTGTATTTGTAGTTAAATAAAATAGAAAAAAAGCCAACAAAAAAACATCCTGCCAATCAAAAAAAACCCCCACCCAACAGACTCAATCCCCAAACCTACCACCATATGACATCACACACACCACACAACCTTATAAATAAGTAACTTAAGGCTTACAAGACTGCTTTTTGTAACGTTAAGGGTTTTGCTTTCTATTTAAACCCTTCCCTTGTTTCAGAGTTAGTGTTTTCATCCTCAGGAGGTTTTCGTTACAATTCTCCCCCCCCAAAATAGTAATTCATGAAGCTTGGCACAGCTCATAACCTTTTACCATGAAATTAAACAATGCAAACGTTTACAGATACTGAGTCTCAGCCTAGGACTTAAATCATCTTTAGATATCTGAGTACTAGTTCACCTTCCCAGTACTGGTTTATGGAAAAAAAAAAAAAAAAGATACATCTCATGGCAAATACAGTTTTTATAATTCCAACATTCTCAAATTCTGAAAATGGCAAATAGTATTATCTGATAGTAAGTAAGAGAGTTTATGTGAAAATATAACTGGCTGCTTTTCTCCACAGTTTAAGTCAGAAAGCAGCCACTTATTTAAGAGATTGAAGTTTAGAAGTTTACCTCTGCATCATATCTGACAGCAGCAGAGAGCAATGAAAATGCATTTTCCACAGTTATTCCTCTCTTGATAATGTGTTGACACAGTTTTTTCAATCTATTTTCACAGTATGAAGTAGCCAAATCCAAGAGCCCTGCAATTAGAATGCCATCATATTAGTCACTTGTAAAGATTTCTGCTTTTTCAACAATAGTTTATGCAGCTGGGGCACAGGTTACATCTGCATCCTGTATGCAATTTTCTATGTCTATAACATGCTTTATGCAAGTAGGTCACTATTCAGTAAGATGTATTTTACCATCATACAGAAAGAAAGGCCTTTTATTACCTCATGCTGCAATCCTGTTAATCTCTGTAATACGCAAGCTATTCCACTGATTTGCATAACTAACTGCTTGCAAGGGTGGAACCATCACAAAACAGGCACCACAAGCAAAAAGCTACCATTATGAAAATCTGTGCTTGAATTACAGCTTGCTCTTTGCTCTGCTGTCCAAGTTTCCCCTATTAGATCTGAGATTCTTTCATATTATCTTAAACAATAATTTGCTCAATTTAGTAAAATATGCAAGTATTTTATCCCAGAGAAGTAGTTTCTCTCCCAACCTTGAAAAAAATGCTGATAGTTTATTTCTAAATCAGCACCACTTTTGCAGTAGTAAGTTTGCTACAACAGTATTTTAAAGACAGCTTAATTCATCACCAGTAAAATGCATTACAGGCTCGACTAGAAGTCTGTATTAATTAATTTGTTCTGCATCCCCTGCCTCAGTTTTTCTGAATGTTGCTTTCTAACATAATTGGACTGTAAGCAATACCTATGGCATCTTCAGGCGGAAGGTCAACACTGTCTGTATACAAGTACTCAAGAAAGGCACGATACACAGGATAAGAAAACTGGTCTATTTCTATCACTTCCTTCATATCCTCATTCCAGTATGACTGGAACATGGTTCTGAAGTGTTCACACCTAAGAGACAAAGACATCATCTGGAACACTATTATATGTACACATGAATGTTACATTACAGTCCCCCTGAAATATGTATTTGGGGCACTCTGCAATATATACAAATATTTTATCATACCCCATCACAGTCAGTGGTCCACATTTTGGTTCCTAATGCATTGTTATACTCGCGCATCAAGATAAAACTTTATTTGATTTATGCTACAGAAGCATCTGTGTATACATTGCAATCAGACCAACTTGACAGAATTTATTAACCTGGGAACAACAAATAGGCTTAATTTAATATGACATTAAATATGAAATAAAAAATTGAATACGGACCATTTTAAGACAGACTTTTGATTCAACTCCTTTTACAATCACTTCAGTTAAAGTGATTATGCACACATAGATACTATATATTGCAGGTTTAGGGGTCCCTCACTACTAGCCTTTACTTTTTCCCCCCCTTAGATACAGTACTAAGAGGTTATTCTGTATAAACAAGAGCTATGAAACGTGACCGCTACCTGATTTTCAGAACAGCTTTGTGTACATGGATGTACTTTCCATCCACACGGAACTTCAGGTCTGAGGTTTCTGGGCTGTCAAACTCTTTCTTCAGAGACTCTGCTACTGTTAAAAAGTCTTCATGCTCTATAGAAACAATTTGAAAACAAACAAAAACCCCATGTTAAGCACCTTAAATGGAACACACACATCACTAACTAAAGCTAGCAGCTCAACTAAGTGTGTCAAGGAAAATAGGTCAGTATCAGGGTTCCATTGGCTTAAGCGGTGAAATGGGAAGAATTAATCCAATACCATTTCCTGGTGGCAAGGACTGCTCCACAACAGCTACGGGCAGCAGTGGTCAGCAGCTCCCATTCCAGCTCATTGCATAGAGGTAGCACATCGCCAAGGACAGTACCTGAAGAACCTCCTTGCTCATTCTCCACCTGGGCACCACCCATGAAATTGCCAGCCTCCTGGCAGCTCAGGGCTAGGTCAGCTCAGCTCTGCAAACTGATCTCTGCAGCTAACTTGCAGACTGCTGGTAATGGGAATCTACAGCATCACCTACAACTCATTTGAGACATGGTGTACAGTACTCCAGCCGCACTGACACAGTATGATCTGAGCCTAAACAGTAAGAAAATATGTCACCAGTCGGCCACTTTTTTGTGCTGGCAGATTGGATACAGCCTGCAGGTTGTCTGTTAAGGTCTTTGCCAGGGCTCACTAACATGAACTATCACTGACACCATTATACTCAGTTTATTAGTCAGTTATGACAACACAAAAACCAGCAGCACTGCTGCTGAAGAAGAGAGACTGTACCAAGGAGACAATATCTACTACTAAGGACACAGGACTTCAGCAATTTAGGAAGTGGAAAAAAGCTGAGATCTCACAGCTCTTTGACAGTTCTTTATATTAAGGCCTATGGCACCGGTCCCACAGAGTCTCTAGACAAGCTGGGTAAGGCTTGTGGTAAAGCAATAACTCTGAAATTTTAGAAAACCTAATCCATCCACTATTTGAAGCTTCCACTGATGCATTTTAAAAGTGTGTTTCAAAACACATGGCTTCTTAGAAGCGAGGGATGGAAAAGAAAAAAAGTGCATTTCCACTATAATGGGATGTGGCCTGTCTCCTACACCCCACAGGACTGCATATTGTCCATCCATATACAACCCATAAATTACTCTTCGCCATTAGGGATGGCTAAATTAGTTGGTATTTAAAAAGAAATACTGCCGTAACAGACAAGTCATGTTTCATAGAATCATAGAATGTTTTGGGTTGGAAGGGACCCCTAGAAGTCATCTAGTCCAACCCCCCTGCAGGAGCAGGGACACCGCTAACTAGATCAGGTTGCTCAGAGCCCCGTCCAATCTGGCCTTGAAT